TTGGGCCGCGGTTGCGGGACACGAGAGAGAAGGATATATGGTTTAGGTTAGGATTTTAAGTGAAGTAGCTTGGGTTGGGTCGGGTATGGGTTCAGGTTTTGTTTTTTTTGGGTTGGGCTTAATGATCTTGGGTCTTTTTTTAAAATTTTATTGTTTAAAAAGCTAGGTGGTCCGCCTGAGCGGACCGCCTAGGGAACGGACCGCCTAGCCCTAGGCGCTGCCTAGGCATTTTATTGTTTAAAAAGCTAGGTGGTCCGCCTGAGCGGACCGCCTAGGGAACGGACCGCCTAGCCCTAGGCGCCTGGTTGTATGGGTACCGGTGCGGATGCAGGACATGACAAATTCATAAATGGTAGGGTACAAGACATGGCTGGAACTCATAGGATATTCATAGTTCTGAGCTATATATGTAAATGACCCTTTTAAATCATTGTTCTTAAGGCCGAAATGAATTCAAAAATGAATGTGAAGCGTATGATACATATCCAAGAAGTGTTATGAGGAGTGTTTGAATAAATGTATGCATATATTTATGGAGTGCCCAAGACGTGTTGGGTGCGGGCATGGGTATGATACATATCGGGTACGGACACAGCTCCATATTAGAAGAACTTAGGTAATATAGCCCCACACTCATCTCTCTTCTTCGTCTTCTCCATGGTCATACGGTTGAGAACCTTGGTCGCGGACTTGGATATCCATGCTACTCGCTCGAGATTCTTGGCTATGGAGATCGATGAGCTTTTGATCGTGGGTTGATTAGGGTTTAGTGTTTCCAAGATGGCACATTTTTAATTAAACTTAAAGAATTGGGTTTTGACATGAGAATGGGTTGAAATTATGATGAATAAAGAGATGACACTGATTTGGTATAAAAACTAATAATTATTTGTTAATAATTAAATAGCAGTTATAGTAAAAATAAATTCATATTAGAAATAGTTGAGTATTTAAGAACTAGTATGTTGTAAACCACAACTATATAATAATTGTTAAGTCTATAAACTGAGAAATACAATATTTTTATAAATACAATAGAAAATAAAACATATGAGTATGTATATGAAAATATATTTGTTTCATATCTATGAAATCAAACCAAAACATATATGTATGTATATAACTATATATATACAAAAACAAAACATGTATGTGTGTATATGATTGAGCTTAAAGTACTAACACACATAATATAAAACCTAAACTAAATATACCCAAGCTTGATCTTGATCTTCAATAGGCTTGACTTGGTAAACTTGGATGAAGCTGAACTTAGATCTTTAACTTTAATTGCATTGCTTCAACCACTATATCCACCAACCTCCATTTGATATGATCGTTATGGCGCAATCCATCCAACCTCCAACACGTTGTTTGTCTAATAAATAGAAATATATAAATACTAAACAAATAACATTAGTGGTAAATTGTTTGTTAAACATCATCAAAACAAAGAGGCCAACAATAATTTGCCACCCCTACATTTAATCAAGTTTATTCCGAAACTTGCCCAAATTAGTTTGAAGTTTAAAGCTCATTATTTTAAAGTAATAATACTTTGATTGTACATTTTTGATACAGTGCCATCAATATGTCTCATTGCAAATTACATATTTAATAATGACATGACTCATGAAATTACACTGCTTTGTAACTCTCTTCGTTTCTTAATTCTTTATTTCTTCTCCATCATGTGTAGGTAAATGAGTCTCGTCTCAATGAAGACCTGGACCAGGTGTGGGAGGTGCTTGCAGAACCAATACAAATAGTAAGTCCTGACAGTGCACTGCACTTCCCTTTAGACTTTATTATGACTGCTTTTGTATAATTTTTCTTTTTTCTACTTTTGTTGGTTATATGATGTAATATCAAAGGTCTGCTTGTATGTTGTATTGTTTTTGAAGGTTTTATACAGTATTTTGACTATATGTTAGGAAAGATGACAGTCCAAGAGAGGGGTATTTTCACTCGAAAACAAATAGAATATAATTACATTAAGTCTCAATGATGGTCTAGTTACGAACTATTATTCTACCATTCCTTCTTAAGCTGGAAGAGCATATAGACCTTTCATTTTTAGCTAGTTAAATCTAAGAAAAAAATTCCCTTCCCTTTCCCCCCAACCCCCCCAGAAAAAAGGTAATGTTTTAGGGAAACCGTTACTTATCTGTCTGAATTAACATGTGAAGTGACATTTTGCTCAATATCATTTCATAATGAAGTGACAATCAACCTTTATATGCTTCCTGCCTAGATTAGGCGCTCTGGCCCAAACTAGGCGGAAATTGCTCCGTCTACACCTAGGCGAATGCCTAGACGACAACTTTTTAGAACACTGGTTGTATGGGTACCGGTGCGGATGCAGGACATGACAAATTCATAAATGGTAGGGTACAAGACATGGCTGGAACTCATAGGATATTCATAGTTCTGAGCTATATATGTAAATGACCCTTTTAAATCATTGTTCTTAAGGCCGAAATGAATTCAAAAATGAATGTGAAGCGTATGATACATATCCAAGAAGTGTTATGAGGAGTGTTTGAATAAATGTATGCATATATTTATGGAGTGCCCAAGACGTGTTGGGTGCGGGCATGGGTATGATACATATCGGGTACGGACACAGCTCCATATTAGAAGAACTTAGGTAATATAGCCCCACACTCATCTCTCTTCTTCGTCTTCTCCATGGTCATACGGTTGAGAACCTTGGTCGCGGACTTGGATATCCATGCTACTCGCTCGAGATTCTTGGCTATGGAGATCGATGAGCTTTTGATCGTGGGTTGATTAGGGTTTAGTGTTTCCAAGATGGCACATTTTTAATTAAACTTAAAGAATTGGGTTTTGACATGAGAATGGGTTGAAATTATGATGAATAAAGAGATGACACTGATTTGGTATAAAAACTAATAATTATTTGTTAATAATTAAATAGCAGTTATAGTAAAAATAAATTCATATTAGAAATAGTTGAGTATTTAAGAACTAGTATGTTGTAAACCACAACTTTCTATTTCCCCCTATTTTTCGTAAATTCTTGTATATTTTAACTTTAAACTAAGTAAAAATGTTATTCCGGTTCACATGAAATCACTTGCATGACATGTCCCAACACAGAGGATAGTCTTGAATGTTACTAGTTAACAAAGTTTAGTTTTCTGAAATTAAAAAGTTTAGGTTCTGGGTAATTACCTATAATAGATTTTCGTTCAGGGTTAGTTTTTATGAGAATCCAGTGGAAGGTCATGTCAGTTTCTTTATTTACCCTTTTTTAACCTCGTGGGGGTGATTCTCCATATCTATAAGACTATAACATCTTTGCTGAACTTTTCAGTTTACTGTCCAATTTTTGGTTGCATGATTTCGGAATCTGTGGATTCTTATTGCTGTCAACATTTACCCTTCCCTCTTTGGTCTTAAGCTTGCTACACATTAGTGATGATTTTTTTGCACTTTGCTTAGGTACTGGCCACAAGTTTCACCTTTGTGTTCCCTTGAACATTCTAATGTAGGTCTGTGGTCGAGGCTTGTTAATTTGCTTGATGCCCATGTCATGATCAAGCTTTCCCTGAATCATGATACTACAGGTCTCAGATATTTATGGTACCCATGTCTTGCTACTCCACAATTCTGTAGTAAATGTTCCATCCGAACTGTTTAGCTGAAGAGTCGTCAGGCCTGGAGGCTCCTATAGGCATTTCTCTACTTTCAGAAGAAGCTACTTGCTTGTCAGCGCTTCCTCCTTTCCCATATCAAATTGAAGTTTGTTCTTCAAGTCAGTGCTGCTCAACCAAATTGATCTACAAATATATCCTATTTCATTTGCAATCTTCCCATAAACACAAGTTAAGCCTGTTAGCAATTAGCGGACATATAAAGTGGGGATTTACATAAAAATAAAAAATAGTTAAAAAAATTTGTTGTTGAAATTACTTCCATTACAAAGACAAAACATTTTGGTCATTAATTGTTGTTGCTTGTTCTTTTACTCTTTTCTCAAACGCCTCACTCTCATTTGTCAATAAATTTTGGCAGACGTGTTCCTTGACATGGAACATACCTACGTTTTGGAATAGAAAAAACTATTTGTGAATGTTTGCTGTGGTAGATGTGTATACTTGCATCTCCAGTCACTTGTAACAACTGAGCACTGCCTCGTGAGTTGCTGTTATTAAGTTCGTTTCGCTACACTGTTACCTTTCATTCTTGCAAGTGTGACAAATGACATATGATGTATTTTTTGCAGTCCTAACACAATCAAGAATTGCCGAATGCTTTTGGGTCTGCTTCAGTGCGCACATGGCCAAGTTCTTCACTATCCACTGGTTACCAACACTGTTGTCTGGTTCTTGTTAGATTACTTTCAGTAATTTATGTCCTTGCTGACCCTATATCAGCGCATTAAAAAAAACACTTTTTCCAACACTGTAACTAAATTAGTCTTGAGCTTGATTTTTGCTCATTTTAGCGATCATCTCTGCTGAACGAACTAAGCTTGTAAGTGAACTTCAATATTCCTTTTCTCAGTGAGTTTTACAGGACAAGTCATCGTCCTTGGTATTGTTTCGTGCTTATCTCACAGAAACTGCTTGATGCGCCGAAGTTTATATGCCGAAGTTTATATGCTTAGGTCCGTATCTGAGAATATGAACAACTGTAGCCTACTTGCTCATGAATAAAGCTATACAGCTCCGTGGCGGTTGAGGCCCATGGTGACTAAGAATGCAATAGATTCTGGAAAAAGGAGCATGGATGAGGGCGTGCCATATAATTGATGCTAATTTCGGCGTGGCAAGAATACAGAACACAAGCTCTACACAGGCTTATGATTCTGTTTTCTAGGTTTCCTAATATAAGGAAAGGTTCTTACTGTTTCATTGGGTCAATTGTGGATACACCCTTTACGATCACTAAGAATCCTATGATACGGTGGTACCATCACTTGTTTTCTTAAAATTTCTTTTATCATCACTTAATAATCCTTGAACATTGGTCGGAGGTGGATGATTTCCACGGTGTCTCTTAATCTGACTTGGGAAATAATGTTGTGAGGAGTTTAGGGATGTTTTGGGAAATAATAATCATTGAATATTATTTTTGTTGTTGATGAGGGGAACTAACTGTTTGTATTGGGAGATTGTTAAAGTTACGGGTTAATTGTTAAGGTTACGAGTTAATTGTTAAGGTTGCGGGTGAATTGTTAAGGTTATGGATCCCTTCTCTCTCTCTCTCTCTCTCTCTCTCTCTCTCTCTCTCTTTATCATAATTTTACTGTGATGATGTTGAAATGATTGAAGGGGATTGTTATTTTATTATTATTATTATTTATTATTTTCGTTATTGATGAGGAAACTAATTGTTTTTGTTTGTATTGGGAGATTGTTAAGGTTACGGGTTTAATTGTTAAGATTACGGGTTGGTTGTGAAGGTTACGGGTTTAATTGTTAAGGTTATGGGTTTAATTGTTAAGGTTACGGGTTTAATTGTTAAGGTTACGGATTTGTTGTTAATGTTACGGGTCGGTTGTTAAGGTTACGGGTCGGTTGTGAATGTTACAGGTTTAATTGTTAAGGTTACGGGTCAGTTGTTAAGGTTACACGTTGGGATATATATGTATATATATTTTGAGTGTAATGAATACTTTGGGTCACTTGGCCTAGTGGTAAAGTTTGGGAGTTTGGATAAGATGTTAGGGGTTCAAACCCCTACAGTCATAATATTTTTAGAATATTCCTTGTTAAGGATAATGGTTGATTGTGAATGTTACGGATTAGTTGTTAAGGTTACGGGTTTGTTGTTAAGGATATACGTTGGTTGTGAATGTTACGTTTTGGTTATGAAGTTAACCTACATAACAAACCCGTAACTTTAACAACCAACCCGTATCCTTAACAATGAATATTCTAAAACCCGTAACGGGTTGGTTGTGAAGGTTACGGTAACCTTAACAAGGAATATTCTAAAAACCCGTAACCTTAACAAGGAATATTCTAAAAACCCGTAACCTTAACAATGGAGACATGACCAACAAGCCATATTCCATCAATCTAGGACAAGCTTCTAATCGTATTAGTTAATTCTAAAAAAAATCTTACTATCGAATTAGAATCATTGACATTTATTAGAGCATGATAATGATGTCCATTCATAAGGTTGGAAATTTTCCAAAGCTAGGTTCTTTTTACACTTTAGTATCTCAAATTTTCCATCTGCGCTAAATATGTTCCCTTAGTTAGATTGAACAACTAACGCTTAGAAATTTTTACTCACTCTTCATCCCCTAAACAAAATTTCTTATTAAATCCTAGTAACTTTCTCTTCTCAACGAATATGGTGTAAAATTATCCAAACATCATTTTGATTGAAATTTAATAAAATATTCTGATACCCATGACTTAACCAAACTCCTCATAAATAAAATATTTTAACTGTATCTGGTACCAATGACTTAACCAAACTTCGAATCATACAGTTAACATAATTTTAATGATTCGAAGAGCTAACATAATTTTACCTCAAGGTAAAATTATGTTAGCTCCTCATAAATAAATAGCTCCTCATAAATAAAATTATGTTAGCTCTTCGAAGAGCTAACATAATTTTACCTTGAGGATAAGACTACTTTAAGCGACTAATATAAAAACCCAGCGGGGAATTATACCATTTATTCTTTCATTCTCATCTCAAAACATGACCAGATACAATGCACTAGCTTCTAGGAATCAGCATTTCGAATGAAAGAATATTAAAGTGGTAAGCAAAAAGTAGAAGGCAGTGCTCCAAAAATGCAGGCTAAGAATCTTTATTTTAAAATTAATAACAATGAAAGAATCTCGTTGGGGTTACAAGCATGACCCAAAAATGTTGTAGACATGTTGCTCCAAAATGTGAGCTTGGATTAAGGCGGGCTAAAAAGGAATCGGATACTTATGTGACTCAGTCTTTGGTTAGCTTATCAATCTATTGTTTGGTTAGTTACAAAAATTACTGCATGTTTTTGTTGGAAGAAACGTATTTTTATTGCGGGTAAAGTGTTTGCTTATCAATTTAGAACATATATTTCTAGGCCATACTCGTTGCAAATGCGTGCAATAAGGCAAAACATGACTTTTTCCGAAATTTCTTGGGGCTTAATTAACCCGAAAATTGAACTTAAACTAATCTGAGTACGTAAAGAATTTCAGAAGCATAACCTGTCTCAATTCATGTTTGTGGTTCCGTTCACGCGTACGACAAACAGTAATGGGGGCCCATTAAAAAAAAAGACCGAGTAAGATTATGAAGTGAAAGAAAATAACAACAACGACAAAATAGTCTTTATCATTGACAACAATTTAAATTCCGACTTTGTGTCTTGCAAGCTTTGAATATGTCTCAAACATGACATTATTTTTTAATTATAATTAAACACGAATAATAATTGGCGAGCAAGGAGGGAGATGTATTTTGTCCAAATGAGACGTGCCTCTTATACATACAGATTTTTAAAACTCGTATTAGTTTTAAATTTCTTGTTCCTAATTGAAAGCTAATCATATCTTCACCATTTTCGTTCTTAAGTAATATATAAATACCTTATATAGTTTATTAACGTTCTTATATATTAATTTATTAAGAATATATTATCACCTTAATTATATTCCTTATTGACAAAATTCTTATACATTAAACCGGTAAGCTGCTGAGAAGTTACCTTATACGATTATTGACTTTCTTTATATAGAATATAGAACAATCATATTTAAGAAGTTTCATGCCTATTGATATTTTCCATGTGTATTTTCTTCCTTATATATGCTAAAGCCAGAATCAACTTAATTATTATCCTATACCATAAGAGCCATATGCAAAATATATATAAGCATATTTTGCGAAGGAATAAAATCAAACTTTCACATTCAAATCTCATCCCTTTCGTTTCATTCGTCACCAAAAAAAAATAAAACTTACGAAATACATATCATATTCTTTAAAAGTTACCCCCCTTATTATTCCTGAAACCCCGGACTCATTCAACAAAACTACATAAGTTGCCGATTGTACAAAAATCAAAAATTGTCAAGTTGCTCCCCACCTCTTCACTATAAAAACATGCACATGAACTCTTTGTTTGTCATCATCTAAACTCCCATCACCCACAAAAAAAATGAAGCTTGAAGAAGAAAAGCGGTTCGCGCTTCTCCTTGCTGCGAAGGACTCTGATTATGTTAAGAAAATGTACGGGGGCTACTTCAATGTATTTGTGAAAGCATTTGGAGATGAAGGAGAACTATGGGATCTCTTTAGAGTGGTCGAAGGAGAGTTCCCTAAAGTCGAGGATTTGAACAAGTATGATGGTTTTGTCGTGAGTGGGAGCCCTCATGATGCTTATGGAGATGATTTGTGGGTAACTGAGCTTTGCTCGTTGCTGCAAAATTTGATTTCTATGGACAAGAGAGTGCTTGGTGTTTGCTTTGGCCATCAAGTGAGTGTGGCGACAGCTGAATTAATACACCTTTGTTTTTCAACTTCTTTTTTTATATATGTGTGTGTGTTTCGTTCAAATAACTAAAACTCCAACTGCAGTTGTAATTTGAAAATGGTTACAGTACCAACCGTTTGTTTTGATGTGATTGTAATATTTAACAGTTGCGAGAAAAATGTCGGTGTACATAAACAAACGGATGTGATGTAACTGTGGTTGTGCTGTATAAAGTTGTAACTAAAGCCTTTAGTTTTATGCGGGTTCGAAGAATTTTAGATTTCTCCAGGAGTTAGAAGACATCCCTTGCTGTACTTCAATCATTGAGTGCCATCAAGATGAGGTAATGTCACTAAACAATTCTTTGATCAACTTGTATTCGTTGTTACCATCGTCATCATCATGATCATTATCATCATCGATATCCTTATTCTGTTTTAGATGCTTCTCGATCTTATAGCCAATGCTTAAGAAGTTCAATGCACTTATAGGCTAATAGGCAAAACAACATATAAAAGAGGGTATTAGTTTTCTTTGAATTACCCAACTTATCATATCAAATAGTAGTTGAACGAAGTTAATTATGTGGTCCGTATTTCGATTCATTTGTATTTGCTTATTCTTCTTAATTTTAGACCTTTTTTAGCTAATCATGTAGTTTTTTCCTTTTTTTTAATAACATCTCCCTACATTTCTACATTTTGCACTCTATAGTGAAACAAGGTAATAAAATGCGTACAAGTTCTATTAGAACGTGTTCTCCATATGCGCATGATATTAAGAGAGATAAAAAAGCAATTTGGAGATTTCAACAAATCAACTATAGTTTAGAACACCCCACTCACGTCTCATGTTCTGATATGGTTTGTATTCACTCAAAATCATATGCATTATGCTCACCATATCCAGGCATAATACTCAAGTAATCCACCAAAAACTACATATATATATACACATAGGCTTGTTGTCTACTAGCTTAGAACTTATATTCATGTATAGTTACAGCTAACAAAAACATCTACGATAAGTCAGAGAGAGATAAATACACTTTGTTTCAACTCTTTTTTTTTATATATGTGTGTGTGTTGATTCAATAACTACAACTCCAACTGGCAGTTGTAATTTGAAATGGGTTACAGTACCAACCCGTTTGTTTTTTGATGTGATTCGTAATATTTTAACAGTGGCGAGAAAAATGTCGGTGTACATAACAAACGGATGTGAATGTAACTGTGGTTGAGGGGAGGGGATGGCTGTATTAAAGTTTGTAACTAACAGCTTTAGTTTGTAATTTGTTTGCATATAATAATATTATATAGTATATTTATATATAATATATATAATTACCGAACATTCTCTTATCAGTGAACTTGATAAATTAGCCATAGTGCTTTGAATTAATGTTAGGTTTTGTGCCGGGCTTTTGGCAGGGCAAGTGGCAAGTGGTTGCGGAGGATGGGACCTTGGCGGTTAGGAAAGTGTGAAATTGATGGCGGGGTTCGAAGAAGTTTTAGCTTTCTCTCCAGGAGTTAGAAGGACATCCCTTGCTGTACTTCAATCATTGAGTGCCATCCAAGATGAGGTAGTGTCACTAAAACATTCTTTGATCAACGTTGTATCGTTGTTACCATCGTCATCAATCATAGATCATTATCATCCATCGATATCCTTTTCTGTTGTTAATGATGCTTCCTGCGATCTATAGCCAATGCTTAAGAAGTTTCAACTGCACTTATAGGCTAATGGAAACAACATATAAAGAGGGTATTAGTTTTCTTTGAATTACCCAACTATCAATATTAAATAGTAGTTGACGAAGTTAATTATGGTGGTCCGTATTTCGATTTTCATGTTGTTTTGCTTATTCTCTTAATTTTTCGCGTTTTTAGCTAAAATCACTGTAGTTTTTTTCCTTTTTTTTAATAACATCTCGCCTAGATTTCTACATTGTTGCACTCTTAAGTGAAAAAGGTATAAAATGCGTACAGTTTATTAGAACGTGTTCTCCATACATGCGCATCGATATTAAGAGAGATAAAAAAGCAATTTGGAGATTTTCAACAAATCAACTATAGTTTAGGGAAGCCCCCACTCACGCTCATGTTCTGACTATGTTTAGTATTCACTCAAAATCATATCATTATGCTCACCCTATCCAGGCATAATCTGCAGTAATCCACGCAACACCAAAAACTACATATATATATACACATACGGCTTGTTGTCTAGCTAGCTTAGAAGTTCTATTTCATGTATAGTTACAGCTAACAAAAACATCTAGCGATAAGTCACCATTATATTAATTTCAGTAAATAGCTAGCCTTAGCCCCCCCCCCCCCCCCCCCCGCTCAAATTACAGGTGTTGGAGGTGCCCATGAGAGGGCTGCGGTGATTGGCATATTCAGAAAGACCTGCAGTAGAGGCATTTGCAGTCGAGATCATATCGTTGGCATCCAGGCCATCCCAGAGTACACGAAGGAGATCTTTATATGATATCATTGATCTCGACTTGCGCAACAACATGCTATGATGTAAGGCTCTCCATGTCTCCTCGTTGAAAACATTATATATATATATATATATATATATCTATATATATGATAATACTGATATAATATGATAGTATATATATATATATAGAGAGAGAGAGAGAAATGGGTATGCTTGGTACCAAGCACAAATTTTATGCTTGGTAGTGAGGTGTCTCATTCTCATCCACTCATTCAATTGGGGGGATCACATTCAACCCATGTGAATGTGGTCCCCCCATTTGAATGAGTGGAGGATAATATGTCACATCACTACCAAGCACAAAATTTGTGCTTGGTACCAAGCATACCCATATTCCTCATATATATATATATATATATATATATATATATTCTACGAAATCTTATATTAGTTTATCATATTTGCATTTAACAGAAGGATTTCGCTGAAGAGGCAAAGGCAAAAATGGAGAAAGAAGAAGATGATGATGATAGGAGGTTTTGGGAGAAGGTATGCAAGGGTTTCCTCAAGGGGATAGAAACTAATTAGACGCTAAATGATGATGACGATGATGATATTCGATGTATCACTTTGATTACTTTGAATGTGCAATTACATTTACATCAACTGTAGTGGGTTGCACTTTGATTGCAAGAATAACTTGGACTTGAACTGTACTATTTCCACACGCTTTCTCAGTCTACATGCTTTCGCTTGTTTCTTCATATACTGATTTTTAATCTACATGTAAGGCCTATTTAACTCTCGAAATAGTTCAATTTCTTCCAAATTAGCGATCAGTCAAGAGCAGTGAAAGGTGACTGTTATGATTAGCCTACTGGAAATGTCTTCGTAGATTAAAAGATGGGGGAAGATTCTGGAATGTTGGTTGTACTTCATGATCGTCGTTAGGCCAATACTTGTGGACTAAAATTGGGTCATCACTTATTTCTTAAATGTTTGGCAAGAGCTGATTTAGTTGTGGGCCAACTCCCTGTGATTCACAACTAAACCAGTTTAGAGACCCCAAACTGAACTAATGTAAACTAGTTCACTTCTGAACCAATTTTTATTGATCAACAAAATAGTCTAAAAGTGGACCAAGTTCTTCAAACCTGGTCAACTTTTAAAGAGTTACCAAACACACCCTAAGGGCCTGTTTGCATGGTTAATTTTTTATAAAACACTTTGTTGCTACAGTATCGTGGAATTGTGTGGTCTAGCTGTGCAATGTGACTCCATTTCCTACCTTTTTGTTGGGAATTACTGAAGGCATGCCAACTCAGCTACAATATGCGACCATTTTAATACCCAAACAAAGGAGCTGATTGTAATACTGTAGCGACTGACACCTACAGTTTTACAACCCCAAAAACTCTAAACAAATGGCAACCAAATAGGCCCTAAATCTTGTTAGTCCGCATATAGTGAAAATATCTGTGGATGTTAGTTTTCGTTTGCTTGAGTATTAAAAGGTTGTTTGAGTGTTTTTCTAAAAAGTTGAAATCCAAAATTGGGTTTCTGATCCATTTCCTACAATTTTGTAAGGAAATGAGTTTTCCTTAAATTTGGGTAGATTCATATATTTTTTAGGAAACCATCCCCTATAAATCCAACTACCAAAAAAAAAAGACAAAGAAGAATGAAACCTCTTCTAAAGATGAGTTTCCGCTAAGGGGTTTCCACCCTTTTTCTATCCTAACCAAACAGTCAATTCGGAGATTTCTTGTGACCAAGTAAGCATATGAGTCATAATTTTAATAATGAGATTGCTAATAACATGTGTGAATATAGTGTCACGTTGGATATGATTAACTAACAACGGTGAAATGAAGTAGAAAGTTGAATAGCGATTAGTTTAAACCTTCTGAATTTGTTAGGTTTCTCATATGTGTTACGGTCTCAGACAAAAGGACCCAATTTCTACCCCTATTTAGATTACGGAGTAAAGAAGAGAAATTAAGACTCAACTGCACCTTTTTTTTTTTGTTGCAAGGCTAAATTGCACTTAAATACAACAAAGTTTTCATGCTTTGTCACTCGTATATCAAAAGTTATATTTTGTGACAAAAACTATCATAATTTATTTAAAAATTGGCACATTAGCACTGTCGGTTATGCAAATCTTAAATTTTTCGTGTAATTATTTCTTTATGATACTTGCATACTAATTTTAGAGCTGTTTAACTATTAATATTTATTGAATTGCTATTAAATCAACCAATTTTTTTTGTCAAACTTAACTTAATTCTACTTTGAAACAGAGTTGTGATATGTCTAACGATAAATTTAGCAAATATTAATAGTTAGAAAGGTATAAAATTAACATGTTAGTGTTATATTGGAACATTCAGGTAAAAATTTTCACGTTTGCATGATTAAGGAGAAAAGAAATTGAATTTGCCTTCACAATTTCCCCGTGGGTTTCATTCTCTTTATATAGACAATTTGTACAAGGTAGGGATTACAACAAATCCTAACAATCAGATCCTATATAACAGCCCAATCCCTACAATCAAGCTATGTCATGATTTACATGCCTATAGGATTGCTAACTACCTTGTTTACAATCCCTACAATCATGCTATGATTTACATGCCTATTCGATTGGGCTAACTACCTTGTTTACATTCCCCCTCAATCTTAACCATGACAAGGTTCAGATTGTGTCGTAGGCGATCAAGCATGTAGCGAGTGGCTGGCTTGGTGAATCCATCAGCTACCTGATCTTTGGAAGATACAAATCGGACATCAAGAGTGCCCAATGCAACCTTCTCCCTGACAAAATGGAAATCCACCTCTATGTGCTTCGTTCGAGCATGAAACACTGGATTTGCTGTTAAATAGGTAGCTCCAAGGTTATCACACCATAATACTGGTGGTCGCGGCTGACACACATCCAATTCTTTCAGCAAGGATTGTACCCATGTTGCTTCAGCTGTCCCATTAGCCAAGGCCTTGTACTCAGCTTCAGTGCTGGACCGAGATACCGTGGGTTGCTTGCGTGAGCTCCATGAAATCAGGTTGGGACCTAGAAATACTGCAAAACCTCCAGTAGACCTGCGATCATCCATGCAGCCAGCCCAATCAGCATCTGTAAACACACTCAGAAGTGTAGAGTTGGAGCGCCGGAGGTAAAGTCCCGTAGCAGCTGTTCCCTTGACATATCTTAAGATACGTTTGACTGCCTCCCAATGTACATCAGTGGGCTTGGAAAGATATTGACATACCTTATTAACGGCAAAAGAAATATCTGGCCTTGTTAATGTAAGATATTGCAAACCTCCTACCATGCTTCGATATTTGAAAGCATCATCATCATCCAGCACTGTTCCACAATCACGAGCAAGCTTATCTGTGACAGACATGGGGGTTGAAACGCTCTTACAATTCTCCATGTGAGCTCGGTGAAGAAGGTCAGAAGCATATTTGTGCTGCATCAAGGTGATTCCCCCTGAATTGTAGACGACTTCAATCCCTAGAAAATAGTGCAGCTGTCCAAGATCTTTGATCGGAAATGAGGAAGACAGGGCGCGCAGCAACTGATCAACTGCTGATTGAGAAGAGCCAGCAACCACGATGTCATCCACGTACACAAGCATGTAGATAGTGACGCCCCCATGATGAAACAGGAAAAGAGAGGTGTCGGCCTTGGAAGACTGAAAACCAAGCTGGAATAATCTGTCGCTAAGTCGTGAAAACCAGGCACGAGGCGACTGTTTTAGGCCGTAGAGCGCCTTTTGGAGTTTGCACACATAATGAGGCCGACGGGAATCCTCGAAGCCAGGGGGTTGCTGCATATAAACTTCCTCATCCAAGAAGCCATGAAGAAAAGCGTTGCTTACATCAATCTGTCGGAGTTGCCATCCTCGTGACAAAGCTAGGGCAAGAATCAAGCGAACCGTTGCAGGCTTCACAACCGGACTGAAAGTATCCTGATAGTCAACGCCATATCGCTGAGTAAAACCTCGTGCAACTAGCCTCGCCTTGTGCTTATCAATAGAGCCATCCGGGTGCTGCTTAAGTTTGAACACCCATTTACATCCGACTATATTAACACCAGCCGGCCGGGGAACGAGAGCCCACGTGTTGTTCTTCTGAAGTGCTTCAAACTCGGCTTCCATGGCAGTGCGCCAAACAGGCTCAGCGAGAGCCAGTCGATGTGAGGTGGGCTCGGCGAAGAAAGCACGTCTGTTCGGATCATACCGAACTGTTCCGTCGGTGAGCTGCTTGGGAAACGATTTTCCGGCACGACCACGTGTAGTGACACCATGTGGAGACTGAACAGGATCAGTTGGGACAGCAACATCGCTCTCAACAGCAGGCGCGAGCACAAGGTTACCGGGTTCTTGGGCCAGTTGAGGCCCAGGTGCAGGAGGTGGTGCAGCATCGATGCGAGGCGGAGGCAACGTGGGCACAAGGTTGCCGAGTTCTTGGGCCAATTGAGGCCCAGATGCAGGAGATGGTGCAGCATCGACGCGAGGCGGAGGCAGCGAAGATTCTGGACAGGGAGGCGGTGTAGCAGGTCCAGGTGTAACAGGCCCAAGGCTGCATGTGCCCGGGACGTGAATCACAGGCGCGGGTATGAGCGCCGGTGGTGGTGGAGCTGCAGCTGCATTTGAGGTGTTAGACAACAAGAGCGATAAGTCATAATTTCGCATATGATCATTTACAATTACCGGTTCAGACTGAGGAAAGGAAACAGCACTGGACAAAGAAGATGGTGCGACTGAACAAGGTGAGGTAGCAAACGGAAAACGTGATTCATCAAAGATCACATCACGTGATATGTAGATCCGTCCAGTACTTTTGTCCAAGCACTTATACCCCTTGTGCATGGCACTATACCCTAAGAAGACGCATAGTTTGGATCGGAAGTCAAGCTTATGAGAGTTATATTTGCGAAGACTTGGCCAGCATGCACAGCCAAAAATGCGAAGAAAAAAATAATCAGGTGTTATGTTGAGGAGGCGTGTGATGGGTGTAGAGTTGTTTAGAGTACGACTGGGCATGCGATTGATGAGATAACAAGCTGTCAAGAAAGCCTCATCCCAAAACCGAAGAGGAAGGGAGGAGTGCGCAAGGAGAGCCAAGCCTGTTTCAACGATGTGACGATGCTTTCGCTCGGCCACTCCGTTTTGTTGTGATGTATGGGGGCACGAAACACGGTGCAAAATACCTGAACTCTGGAAATATTTATTAAGCCGGTGATACTCACCACCCCAATCAGATTGAACAGTGCGGATTTTGGAATTCAAAAGTCGCTCAACATGTTTTTGGAAATTATAAAAGATTTGTTCAACATCAGATTTATTCTTAATAAGATAGATCCAAGTATAACGACTGTAATCATCCACAAAACTTACATAATACTTAAAACCTCCAGTAGATGCTTGAGCTGGCCCCCAAACATCGGAGTGAATAAGCTCAAGTGGAGATGTGGTGACACGAACAGAATTATTATAGGGGAGTTGATGACTCTTTGCACGCTGACATGCATCACACACAGAGGACTCATAATCAAAAGAACAGTCTAATTTATTTAACTTCAAGATGGACCTAACAATTGTGGAAGTAGGATGACCAAGACGCTGATGCCATTGCGATGACGACACCTTGACACTGGACGATGCATGATGGGAAGTGGTGGAAGAGGAGCGGCTGGACGGCACTGGATAAAG